CTGCGCCAACTGTACGGAATCTTGACCTGTGTGACTTCAAACTCTATTTTCCATGCTTTCGCTTATCAGATTGTCATCAAACTTGATAACTTGAATGATTAATAGTGTAGAAACAATTTCGAGGGAAAAAATAATTTTTGAAAAAATTACACATGTTCAGGTTTCTGCTGGCTGGGGCTCATATATATATATATAAATAGAGACGTAGGCGAACAAAATTTATATACACACAACAACAAGGTTGTCAATTTGATAATACTAAAAGCTTTTCACCCATTTTCATCAGTAGTTACATGGGAATGAGCAAGAACGAAAACGAAGCCAGAATTTATACTGGGGGTAGAGAATCAGCAAGAATATTCTTACGCGCCTCAAGTTCACACTACACTACCATAAGAATGTATGGAGCAGTGGAAAAATGCGGGAAACAACACATGAGGGGAATGCAGTACCAGAACAAACACGTGATAAAGTTGTCAGTCCGGTTGCAGCTTGAACAGCCGTAGCACCTTGATGTGCTTCTTTTGTTGACACAGCTCTGGCCTCAAACTGCGAATGTACAGCGCCTCCAGTGTGAATCTGTGCGCGCTGTTCCGGGCTGGTGTGATGACACTGAAGCGAGTCATGACAAGCGTTCGTGAACCTAGCCCAGATACAGCTTCTGCTCAACTTGAATCTGCAACGCGTATTATCACAAAATTGCCGTGGAAAGGGCAAAATTGCATTGCCTTCCGCAAAAAGATTAAAGCTGCAATTTTGAACTGCTATCCTACAGTATCCCCCACTAAAATTTATACAACCAGACCCGCATTCAGGTCTATCGCGAAGGATGTTTCACCAACTCTTGAAACTAGTAATTTTATTTATAAGTATGCGTGTCGCTGTGAGCGGACGTACGTTGGTGAGACATGTCAGCGATTCTCGGAAAGGATCAAGCAGCATATCCCAGACAAGCTGTACAAGAAGCCGCCTGACAAACGTGTGGCAACAAGTGATAGCGCCATCACAAAGCATTTGCAGGCGCAGCCTGAATGCATCCCGCAGGAACGCAACGGCAGCTTCAGTGTCATCACACTAGCCCGGATCAGCGCGCACCGATTCACACTGGAGGCGCTGTACATTCGCAGTTTGAGGCCAGAGCTGTGTCGACCAAAAGAAGCACATCAAGGTGCTACGGCTGTTCAAGCTGCAACCGGACTGACAACTTTATCACGTGTTTGTTCTGGTACTGCATTCCCCTCATGTGTTGTTTCCCGCATTTTTCCACTGCTCCATACATTCTTATGGTAGTGTAGTGTGAACTTGAGGCGCGTAAGAATATTCTTGCTGATTCTCTACCCCCAGTATAAATTCTGACTTCGTTTTCGTTCTTGCTCATTCCCATGTAACTACTGATGAAAATGGGTGAAAAGCTTTTAGTATTATGAAATTGACAACCTTGTTGTTGTGTGTATATATATATAATAATAATAATAATTAGTGGTGAAACGAATATTCGAATATTCGAACATTCGTTCGAATGAGCACATTCGAATATTCTTTAAGTCGCATTCGAGTATTCGTGACGTCACTTCGAATGCAGTGCACGTTCATACGTGCACGCCAAACACAGTACAGTGCAGTGCGTACAGCCTGCCTGTGACTTTGTACTGCATGTTTGCACCAGGGAGTCGTAAAATATGGTATTTTACGACTCCCTGGTTTGCACATGTATGTGCATACTGGACTGCCAATGTAGCAAACAACATGTATAAACTTCGAAGTAGCCTTATGTGGCAGTGCATTTTATGTGGCACTATTGTTTGTACTACCTAATAATAATGACAACATCCATGAAATGACTGAGAGGAGGTCATGTGATGTCATCTGTGTTACCAAAAGAATATTCGTTCGTTCGTTCGTTAAGCCAAAGAATATTCGACTACTAGGTTTTGACATTCGTTTCACCACTAATAATAATAGTAAAACATAATAATCCAGGTATGTACCTGAGAAAGTTTAACGAGAGAGCTTGGGAGCTCAGGGCCCTACGCTATGCTTTTTTGCCTTGATGACCTAGACAAAAAAGCATAGGGATGTTATAAATTCTTTAAAAAATTCCTTTTTTTTAAGACATAACCTGGGATTCGAACCCGCACTATCGCGCGCCCTGCATGCATCCCCCGATACACTTCGCATACATACTAATTCTTCCAAGTTGCTTCACATTATGATCTTGCATTTGAAAGCCCTATTTGAATATGCATTGTGACCAGCCGTCTTTGATGGCACGGTATGGTAGGGGATAGTTACGGGACAGGTACGATCGAGGGTAATACGACACCGTCTCCCGTACCGTACCGTACCGTCAAACACAGCTGGCCACATACAGCTGCCCGCAACATTCAAATAGGGCTTTCAAACGCAAGATCATAGCGTTAAGCAACTTGGAAGAATGGGTATGAATGCGAAGTGTATGGGAGAATGCATTAAGGGCGATAGTGCGGGTTCGAATCCCAGCATATGCCTCAAAAAATAGGAGAATTGAAAAATTTATAACATCCCTATGCTTTTTTTGCCGTCAGATTCGGATAGCGCCAGGCGTGACACAAACAAACAAACAAACACACAAATACCAAACGAGAGAGCTTGGAAGCTCAGGGCCATACGCTATGCTTTTCTGCCTTGATGACCTGGACAAAAAAAGCATAGGGATGTTATAAATTCTTTAAAAAATTCTTTTTTTTAAGACATAACCTGGGATTCGAACCCGCACTATCGCGCGCCCTGCATGCATCCCCCGATACACTTCGCATACATACTAATTCTTCCAAGTTGTTTCACATTGTGATCTTGCATTTGAAAGCCCTATTTGAATATGCATTGTGGCCAGCCGTCTTTGATGGCATGGTACGGTAGGGGATAGGTACGGGACAGGTACGATCGAGGGCAGTACGACACCGTCTCCCGTACCGTGCGTACCATCAAACACAGCTGGCCACATACAGCTGCGCGCAATATTCAAATAGGGCTTTCAAACGCAAGATAATAACGTAAAGCAACTTGGAAGAATGGGTATGAATGCGAAGTGTATGGGGAATGCATATAGGGCAATAGTGCGGGTTCGAATCCCAGGATATGCCTTAAAAAAAGGAGAATTTAAAAATTTATAACATCCTCTGCTTTTTTGCCGTCAGATACGGATAGCGCCAGGCGTGACACAAACAAACACACAAACACCAAATTAAAGCTGTGTGGACCCTGGCTAGCGCCAGACGTTACTGAAGTAACGTCTTCTGCATAGCTACGGGAATTAAAGCTGTGTGGACCCTGGCTAGCGCCAGACGTTACTGAAGTAACGTCTTCTGCATAGCATATGTGTGTTTGATCATCTTGTGCCACGCATAAACTCCAACCCGACTTATTAGTCCTCGGCCCTGTTGATCGCTTACCCACTTTCCTTGAAGAACGATCGATAAAAAACAGGACTTTTTGCAAAAAACGGCTGAAAAAAGGAAGAAAACGTGTGCTCAGAATGAGATTCAAGTACACAACCATGAAACGAGAGAGCTTGGAAGCTCAGGGCCCTACGGTATGGTTTTATGCTTTTTTGCCTAGCTCATCGTACATGTTATTAGAACTGATGGAAATATTTTTTTCCGTTGATTGGCCACATCATTGTATTGCAAAACGTTTCAAACAGTTTGAATATGAGTTAGGCAAAAGTATTTGCAGAATTTATTGCGGATTATTATTTTTCTCTAATTTCCTCCACTTTTGGTTTGTTCCTTCTTTTCTTTTTATCTCCTTATACTGTAAATCAACAAATTTTGGCTGATGAGAAACTTTGGCCGATCCTGAAACGAAACTTTTCGCCATCATTAAACTTTGGCCGATTGGAGTTTTCAAAAAAGAATCAATCGGTATTTTTTGCTCTCACATGCATCCATTGCTCAATCATGCATCATTTGCCTCTATGACAAACCTTGGCCTGAGATTTACTTTGGCCGGTAGGTACCAAGCGGCAAAATCAGCGAAATTAAATCGCCAGCGAAAGTTAGTTGATTTTAATACAGTAATCGGATTTTGTGGCCTTTTTGTAGTAATACATTGACCTGTTGAGCCAATCAGGTAAAATTATATTCCATACAATACAATACAATTCAAAAAATACAAAAATAATGTCCCTGATAGGGTGCTCGTGCTTAACTGCTGCTGACGGCCGAATACATGGTCTTCAGCAACTTGGGTCTCCTGTGATACGCATCCTGTCTATCCTGTCTACGTTTCCTGGGACCGGCGTTGATTCTGCTGATCAGGGGCGTTCTGGAGTCGACAGGATATCTCTGCCGACGTTTCCTGGGACCGGCGCTGAAACGCCCATTCGCGGTTACTTTTGAGTCGACAGGATGTCTGTCCAGACGTTTCCTGGGACCGGAGCTGACTCTGCCGATCACGGGAATTCTGGAGTCGACGGGATCTGTCTTCCGACGTTTCCTGTGATCGGCGCTGAATCGCCCGTTCACGATTATTTTGGAGACGACGGGATCTCTCTTCCAAAGTATGGTTTTACTGACCCATCCTATCACCTATTCGGCAACTAACATCCATTCTAATTTCATTTCCTCCTCGTCTCCCTATTTCTTTCCAAATCTCTCTCTGCATCAGGGAGTCGTATACATATGACGACAAATATTGTGGCCAGCTGTTTGTGGCCAGCTAGCTGTGTTTGATGGTACGGTACGGGACAGGTACGGGAGCGAGCAAATATTGTGGCCAGCTGTTATGTACAATCCTGTAGAGCCTTTGTAGTCACAGATACGGGACAGATACGGGATAGCTACAGGCGTGACACAAACACACAAACAAACAAACAAATGCCAAATTAAAGCTGTGTGGACCCTGGCCAGCGCCAGACGTTACTGAAGTAACGTCTTCTGCATAGCTACGGGAATAAAATGCATGTATATAATATCAATCCGAGTTGTGTGTGTTGTTGGTTTCTGCATAACTTCTTACAGGCATCATGTGTCCAGCTGATCCACCGTCGATTGCTAATGGTTACATCAGCGCAGTGTTTTCTAGTTTTTTTCCCGGAGATACAGCGAAGGCATCATGCCTTCCAGGATATCAGCGAACAGGAGCAGCGGCAATCACCTGTGACAAGAGCGGACAATGGCCTACAGGAGTTTCTCTTCCTTCATGCAAATGTAAGAATCAAAATTTGTTCGGTCATGTTACAATTTTCTGTTCTGATCAACGACACCTCCGTCGAACCTCCAAACATTGCCACAGCACACCGTCAGCAAATTGTGACACGAGAGTACAGTTCTGCTGTGGTGGTTGATGATACAGGTTATCTGTTCAAGGCCGAAATGTGTTGTCCACCATTCTTGGATCATGTATCATATTCCAAAATGTTTATTTTGAAAGACTTACTCTGCAAGCATGTGGAAATTTGAGTTGAGTACATAATGATAATGTATGGAATGGTAAACCAAGCGTATCCCAGTTTATGTTAATCATTGTGTCAGGATTTTGTGTTAGCACATGTGTATAGATGTATATTTTTTGTGTGCGTGTTTGTATGTGCGTGCATGCTTGCTTGCGCGTGTGTGTGTACGTGTGAGTGTGCGCATACATGTGTGTGTGTGTGTGTGTGTGTGTGTGTGTGTGTGTGTGTGTGTGTGTGTGTGTGTGTGAGAGAGAGAGAGAGAGAGAGAGAGAGAGAGAGCAAGTGTGCATGTGTGTGTGTGTGTGCGTGTGTGTGTGTGTGTGTATGTGTGTGTGTGTGTGTATGTGTGTATGTGTGTGTGTGTATGTGTGTGTGTGTGAGTAATGACCTACCTTATAATACCACACAGAGGCACTGTGATGGAACGTGAATGTATAACTATTCGTGTGACATACCTACTTGTATCAATTTTGTATTTCCGAGATATTTTAGATGTACAATTCTCAGTTAATTGCCAGTCATCCACTGATGAAATTTGTCTTGTCTCGTTGTTTTGTGTTTCATTCAGTGATATCCTGCACTTTACCCCGCCCACCTTCAAATGGTTCAATTGTTAGCAGCTCGACTTCTCCTGCTGGCCTGACCGTCTTTGCATGCAACAAAGGTTATAAACTGAAGGGTAGCAGTGTCACTTTATGTTTGTCGAATGGAAATTTATCAAATCCAACACCGACGTGTTCAAGTGAGGCTTCTTCTGAGAGAGACACAGAGAGAGAGAGAGGTGAGAGAGAGAGAGAGAGAGAGAGAGAGAGAGAGAGAGAGAGAGAGAGAGAGAGAGAGAGAGAGAGAGAGAGAGAGAGAGAGAGAGAGAGAGAGAGAGAGAGAGAGAGAGAGAGAGAGAGAGAAGAGAGAGAGAGAGAGAGAGAGAGAGAGAGAGAGAGAGAGAGAGAGAGAGAGAGAGAGGAGAGAGAGAGAGAGAGAGAGAGAGAGAGAGAGAGAGAGAGAGAGAGAGAGAGAGAGAGAGAGAGAGAGAGAGAGAGAGAGAGAGAGAGAGAGGAGAGAGAGAGAGGGAGAAAGAGGGAGGGAGAGGAGAAAGAGACAGACAGACAGGCAGACAGACGGACGGACGGACGACGGACGACGGACGGACGGACGGACGGACGGACGGACGGACGGACGGACGGACGGACGGACGGACGGACGGACGGACGGACGGACGGACGGACGGACGGACGGACGGACGGACAGACAGACAGAAGGAAGGAGGGAGGGAGAAATAGAGAAAGGCAGAGACAAAGGGAGGGAGAGGGGAGAGGGAGAGAGAAACAGAGAGAAAGAGAGCAAAGGGAGAGAAATAGCGAGATCGAGAGAGATAGAGCGAGAGTTTGTGAATAATATGTCGGTCTGCGAAGTAGTAATATTGTGGCTTTTCAGCACAAATAACAAGATGATTTGAACGTCACAACACTTGCTCTTTTTCCTTTTTTCGTTAACTTAACTTGCTACTTGACCAACTCACTAATGCAAGCTTGTGCAAATAAGAACTTCATGTAACCATCAGCTTGTCAAGATTTCAAATTTTTCAATAAAGCATCCCTTTCTAATTGATGCATAAATAAAGAAGAATGAAAATTGTCTGAGTTAAGTCTGACTGTCCGCCAACGTAACCATATTATATACAGTCAGCGATTGTGACAAAATGGCACAAAACTGACAAAGAGTGCTGAGGCTTTCAATGACCTCACACCTAGCTGTTGCTATTATTGCCACACTTCTCCGAGGCGCCAACCAATAACCTTCCAACATGGAAGGCTCAGGTTAGGAAAGGTCCGAGAGGGGGAAGGAAAGCACAACAAAGAAGAGCACAAGCTAAGTCCCACGACAACAAAGAGTTATAGTGAGACCGGTATGTCCCAATAGTCGTGCAAGTTTCATCATCATCCATTACATTTCGGCATTCTTTGTTGCCATGGGACATAGCTTGTGCTTTCTTCGTTTCGCATTCATTCCCCTCTTGAACCTTTCCTAACCTGAGTCTTCCGATAAGGAAGGCTATTGGTTTGCACCTGGGAGAAATGTCGGAGATAGGTGTCAGGTATTTGAATGTGTCAGTTTTGTGCCATTTTGTCACACTCGCTGCCTGCATAATTATGATCTGGTTATGTTGGTGGGCTGTTAGTCATAACTCCTACCATTTTTTAAAGATTCTATCCCCAGTTAAATTTGCTCGCCGTCTGAGTTCAACTTTCTAATGCATAAGCATCATTCGTAACATTCAACCTTCACCAATTGAGCTTGATTAGGCTTGGGAAAATCGTGTCTAAAGAACACCACTTATATAGCGGTCTCGAGTCCAAAACATCCGCAGGGATGTAATTTACAGCCAAAATCTGTTTCCACTGCGACACAAACTTTGTGAACACTAGATAGCAGTGCGAGTCTGTATCATTCGGCATGCGCAGAACAGGCATTGAGATCGGAGGAAAACGTTCCATCTACTATCCAATCATTAAACAACTTCTTTCGATAACTGTACTTTAACCCTCAATCACTGTTTTTTTGTGTTATGTCTTTCATTTCCTTTCAGGAGTCTCTTGCTCACTTTTGACTCATCCCACAAATGGTTCAGTTTCTCCAGGAGATAACAACTTTGAAACAATTAGAAGCTACACTTGTAGCGACGGATTCAAGTTGATTGGTTTTGCTACAACTACTTGTCGCTTTAATGGAATTTGGTCCGCACCTCAACCAACTTGCCAACGTAAGAGTCATGTAGTACAGTGTTGGTGTGTGTGGGTGTGGGTGTGAATCGTGGTAAGCAGAATATAAAACAGAGATGTTCCAGGCTGTCCAAGAGAGTGCTCAATACCGGGAGGCAGAGCTGGTTCACACGATGAGAGGACAGAGAAAGTGTTTTTACCCCGAGTTTTCTGATGATCGCTTAGTGCGTGAAACTCGGAGTAAAAACACTTTTTCTGTCCTGTCATCGTGTGTAAGCATAATATATTAATGTGGATGGGCGGGATCGGGTATCTGCACACTTGGCAAGAAGAAAAGACAATCAACTACAAATCAATGCGGACACACAACGAGAAATATGCATTTTCAGCTTCAAATAGTTTGCGGGTGCATGTCTACAAGCGACATACTGAGCCACAACCAAACACAATAACTACAATACATGTGCTGTGTGTGCAGGCCTGCAGCACACACCGCACAAAGCATAGCAAAGATGGGCACTGCTTGATACGGCAGTAGTGGCAATATATTTTAGTTCTGGAAAACTATCTTCAACCAGGTGACAGCGCACTTCGATGATGCCCAACGGATATCACTGCGGTGTAGATTCTCAGCCCTTACCGCCGTCCTCACAACTACACCCAGCAGCCACAACCCAACACCTGGCATCTCGTACTTCGGCTCTAGGTGCCTATACCTGCAGCAGCCTCTGCCCGGCACTTGGTGCCTTATACCTCAAACCAGGTTCCAGGCTCCCAAACCAGCCGCAGCAGCCACTCGACACCTGGTGCCTAATACCTCGCATGCGGGGTAGTACCCTACGCTAACCACTTGCAAACCTACACGCAGCACGCACCCACGAACAAAACTCTGCAGTAAATGTTCTCCTGCGCTTAGGGGAGCTAGACCTGCTAGAATCCAAGGAGGAGGACGACGACGGTGACGAAGATGATGATGATTTGGCCTCTACCTCTGCCTCTACCAGCAGCACCAGAGCTTGCACCATGACGACTCACGACGAAGTTTCAGAGGAAAAAACTTGGACAATGACAAATAAGCCTGTGCACACTTGGCAAGAAGAAAAACAATCAACTACAAATCTATGCAGACACACTTCTTCGCAGCAACCAAAGTCCTCATACACAGTCAGCGCTTGCAAATAACTTTTGATGAGAAAACAGTTTCTTGTTTCTTTCGCTTCGCCCAGCCAACAAGGAATCTGCATGTCATTCGCAATTTGCCGAGGTTTCCGATCAAGACGTGGGAAAAATCCGTAGGAGCAGAACAGCCAGAATGCCCGATGCCCAGTCGACAATGTCAATGGCACCTCGAGAAAAAAAGCACTATGGACTATGACAAAAAACTGTACCAGAAAACAATCACAAAACACAATGCAGGTGTGTCTGTCATGTATCGCTTTATTTGGCTTGGGTGCACACGGGAAACACGTTCCAGTCGCTCATACTCGGCCAGTATCGCTGTTCATCCAGCCCTTGCCGCTATCGCGGCGCGGGCTGGATTCCGCGGTACTGCCCTCGTACTCGTGCAGGAACCTGTACTTCCTTGCTTAGTACTAGTTGGTGGTGGTTTTTCTTGCTATTATTTTTGTAATGCCTTTTGCTAGGAACCCTAGGAAGCCGCGTTTATGAGCAGAGCAACTTACTTGAAATCAATTGTTAATTATATTTACAAAAATGATACACGTGTATATGTTCAATGTGAATTGTGTGTGTTGTTGGTTTTTGCATAACCCTTTACAGTAATCACATGTCCAGCTGTTCTGCCGTCGATTGCTAATGGTTACTTCAGTACAGTGTCGTCTAGCTTTACGATTGGAGGTACAGCAAACATATTGTGCCTTGCAGGGTACCAGCGAACAGGAGCAGCAGTAATCACCTGTGACAGTAGTGGACAATGGCCTACCAGCGATTCTCTTCCATCATGCAAATGTAAGAATCAAAATTGAATCGATCATGTGACATTCTACTTTTATCAGCCATTGTACTAGTGGTTGGGAGACTTATCCACTCACGCATGTAGAAATTCGTATTAAATACATATTTTGTGAAATGGCATACCAGTGCTACCCCAGTGTATGTGATTGAACATGCTAGGAGTATGTGTTAAACGTGGGTTTTTTTTCTCTACAAAATCCATATGAGCCCCAGCCAGCAGAAACCTGAACATGTGTAATTTTTTCAAAAATTATTTTTTCGCTCGAAATTGATTCTACACTATTAATCATTCAAGTTATCAAGTTTGGTGACAATCTGATAAGCGAAAGCATGGAAAATAGAGTTTGAAGTCACACAGGTCAAGATTCAGTACAGTTGGCGCAGCATCCATGCCCAGTGACTCCATGCAAGTTGATCCTACAGTTTCTGATTGTGATGTGGAACAAGTACATGTAAGTAAATAGAATGCAAGTCAGGCTTGCCCTCTTGGTGCTGCAGGCATGAGTAGTTCAGAAGTGTGACGATATTCCGTATACACCACTACCTTCTTTACAACACCAGAGTGCAAAACGATACTGATTGGTGGCTGGCCTTCCAAATTGTGTTCAGGGATCTCTGTGCTGGCAGTTTGAGCATTGTCCCAAAGCTTGCCATACTGATAGATGTACTGACCAATACCACTGACATCCACTCCCTTGCACACTTTCACTCAGACCATGATTTCAGCATAATTGTATTTCGATGATATGAGCGAATACTCGCGTTGTGTAGCACGTGAAGATGTTGCCCCAAAGCGTTCAACCGGTTTGACTTTTTAGGAATCCCCTTTCTCAGCACAGGGAGCAGCCAGCTTGGCATCGTCTGGCAAGGTAGAGTACTAATAATACTACGCTCTGTTTTGCGCCGTGAGAAGCCCTCCATCAGTGTCTGCAACATCATTGTTGTCGATGTAGAAATACGGATCGCTCAGCGGGTCGACATTCAGCTTCTCCTCGCAGTCGCTATTACTCCAGCACTGACTATCGTCGCCACCAGTATCTAGTGTCGATTTTATGAGGGCTCTTCGTTGCTATGAATATGAGACTCGCCACTGCTGGACAAACTCAGCGAGATCGCCACCAAAGAAATAATTCTGATCGCGAACTAACTTTCAGCGCCGCTTCGTACAGGGAGTCTCACGCTGACAACTCTCGACCTAAGTCCTTGTCGCGACACCTGTCGCCATCGCTGTGTCTAAACTCAATCTCCGTTTGACGAGCTCTCACCTAGCGCTAAAATCAATTGACCAGACTCATTTGAAGAAACTTGAAACTCCTTGGACAACGAAGACACCCACTCGATCGAAAAAGAATCTTCAAAAGCAAGCTCACTGCGCGTCCCAAACTTTGACGTCACATTTTGATGATTGATATCAAGTACACAAGTGCTGGTTTTCGCTGGCCGGGGCTCATATATCTCCAGACACTGGGGTGAATAATGGAGTGTGGTGGTGCACTCCAGTAGGCAGAATGAACACTATGTTTGTACGTGTGTGAGCACTTGTGTGTACATGCGTGTTTTCTGCGTGTGCGTATGTATGCGTATGTCTTCGTGTTTGCCTGTGTGTGTCTGTGCATGCATGCATGTGCGTCTATGAGCGTGTGTGTGTATGTGTATGTGTGTGTATGTGTGTGTGAATGTGTGTGTGTGTGTGTGCGTGTGAATGTGTGTGTGTGTGTGTGTTTGTGTATGTGTGGAAGTGTAAGTGTAGGGTCTGAGGGTCACATTTCACCCACCATCTTTCTTTGGCACAGTAACACAGTGAGGAAACGTGAATATTCCAATTCCTGTACCATACCTAGCTGCATTTTCGAAGATGTTTTAGATCTACATACTCTCAGTTAATTGCAGGTCGCCCAGCTCATGGCATTTGTCTTGTCCTCTCTTGATTTGTGTTTTGTTTAGTGATATCCTGCCCTTCACCTAGCCCACCTTTCAATGGTTTAATTGTTAGCAGTTCTACTTCTCCTAATGGTGTGACCGTCTTTGCCTGCAATAAAGGCTATAAACTGGCGGGCAGCAGTGTCGCTGTATGTTTGACGAATGGAAATTTATCAAACTCTGCGCCAACATGCGCAAGTAAGACTTCATAGATTAGAGAGAGAAAGAGAGAGAGAGAGAGAGAGAGAGAGAGAGAGAGAGAGAGAGAGAGAGAGAGAGAGAGAGAGAGAGTGAGAGAGAGAGAGTGAGAGTGAGAGTGAGAGAGAGAGAGAGAGAGAGAAAGAGAGAGAGAGATGTAGATAGAGAGAGTGTGTGTGTGTGTATGTGTGTGTGTGTGTGTGTGTGTGTGTGTGTGTGTGTGTGTGTGTGTGTGTGTGTGTGTGTGTATGTGTGTGTGTGTGTGTGTGTGTGTGTGTGTGTGTGTGTGTGTGTGTGTGTGTGTGTGTGTGTGTGTGTGTGTGTGTGTGTGTGTGTGTGTGTGTGTGTGTGTGTGTGTGTGTGTGTGTGTGTGTGTGAAAGAGAGAGAGAGAGAGAACCAGAAATACACTTCTGGCATGTGAAGAATATGTCACTGCACGAGTAGTCGTATTGTGGCTACTTTGCCAGTAATAGCATGAAGACTGGACCTTTCCAAAAGTCGATCCTTTGCTTTTCCCGTTGACTTGGCTTTTCATTTGACCAACTCACGATTGAAAGCTAGCAGACACAAGAAGTCCATCGAACATTTGACTTGTGCAGACTTCAATAAAGCGTTAAAGTCTAATCTTTATTCTTCATTCGTGCTATTCATCCTCATCAGCTGAGCTTGATTAGATTGCGGAATATGTCTGAAGAGTACCACTAGTATAGTGGTGTCGAGACCAAAAACGTCACCAGGAAAATAATCTACACCGATGCTCACGATGCTCTGTTTCAACTGTGACACGCACACACACACACACACAAACACACACACATACACACACACCTCCTTAACACTAGATAGTGGCGTGCATGTATGTTGTTTGTGGATATGCAGAATAAGCATTGATATCGGAGGAAAAAGTTTAATCCAACGTGAAATCATCAAAAAACCTCTCTTTATTACTGTACTTTAAACCCCAATTACTTTATTTTTTTTTATTTTTCAACGCCGTTCAGGAGTCTCTTGTTCACTTTTGACACGTCCAAGAAATGGTTCAGTCTCTCCGGGAGATAACAACTTCGAAACAATTCGAAACTACACTTGTAGTGACGGATTCAAGCTGATTGGTTTTGCTACAACTACATGTCACTTTAATGGAGTTTGGTCCGCCCCTCAACCAACTTGCCAACGTAAGTGTCTTGTCTTGCAGAGGTCGCGGGTACAATTCCCGATGATTATGGTTGAACACGTCTTTCTTCTCTTTCTCATTCTCCGGGCTCTTCTTTCATTCTGCTGGGTGGTTACCAATCGGTAGTGTATGCCGGAGTATTTGGTGTGGAGTGTGTGTATCTAAAAAGAATGAAAACAAGCGAAAAATGAAAATTGAAGAATAGGGATTCACAGGCCAGAAATAGCCACTTCAATCAGCTTTGTGGTGGATACAAGGCTAAAATTAGTGGCGGTAAATTCATCAGCCTTGCAAGCTGTTGAATGATTCAAGTTACCATGTCTAACAGAGCTGTTCTCTCTCATCGCTTCCGCAATGGGCAGTACTGACGTCTGTGGTTACTTCACATTGAAACTGTCAAGTGTGTTATAGTTGGACATTTCAGTAATTCCCGCTTGAAGCAAATGCTAGTGTTTGCAAAGGTTTTCGCTCATAAATCATTTCCATATTCCTGCCACACAACCTTTCTCAAACAAAATGTGATGAATGCACTTTGGGAGAGGCATGATTCCGTTTGTGTGGAGTAACGTTGATTTCCAACTAATGGTAAGTCACATTCTTCTGTGAGAACCGGACCAATTGGACGGTGAGAAGGCAATCATGCCTGTGCAAATAGGTGAAGTAAAATAACAGTCAACAACAACAACAACATCCCCCCACCCTCACTCTTGGTATCATCTGTAATGAACATAATTATATTCTCAGCAGGTGTCAGAGTTCAGCAACTTCAGTAGCTTGCCAACATGAAGTCTAACCTTGCTTATGAACAGACCAACCTACTTGAAGTCAATTGACTTTATGAAATGCATGTACAGTCAACTTCGCTAATAACGACTGCGTATATAACGACAATTCGCGAATAACGACAGAATTCATGCCCAGAGCAAAGTCCCATCCAACTGTAATACATAATATAATGAGACGTGGGGTATAACGACACTTCGCGAATAAAGACACTTTTCTGGTGCCCCGCCGAGTGTCGGCGTGTGTGTACAGTTTCCATCTGATTTGTTCGTGTGTTGTTGGTTTCTGCATAACTTCTTACAGGCATCACATGTCCCACTGTTCTGCCGTCGATTACTAATGGTTACATAAGCACGGTATCTTCAAGTTTTATGATTGGAGGTACAGCGAACATATCATGTCTTCCAGGATATCAGCGAACAGGGACAACAGCAATTACCTGCAACAGTAGTGGACAATGGCCTGACAGTGATTATCTTCCTTCATGTAAATGTAAGATAATACAAATTTGATCGGAAAAGTTACTTTTTACTTTTCTGAACAATCCCACCTCCGGCTGACCTCCACACATTGCCATAGCACACCGTCGGCAAGGTGACAAGAGAGTGCAGTCGTGGTGTGGTGGTTAATAATAAAATATTTGGCTCAAGGCTGAATGCTAACGATTAAAGGAGCACTCCTGGAATTTTTTCCGTAGTGTGTTCTCTTCATGGGGGCCTTATATGGCCTCCACGGAATGGGGAATCGCGAAAACTAGACCCGAAAAGTCTACATGTGAAGCCAGTGAGGGCCAAGTTTGTCCTCTCCGCTGATGGATTTAATGACGCCACGTGTGATTACTAATTAGCATTTAAATTCCCTGCACACTGACTCACGCTGCTATATGGTGTTCACGAGGTGTTTATCGCGCTGGAAGCGGAGCGTTTCTGTAAGTTTGTATCCCTGGTGATGTTTGTGCCTGGAGAGCACTATATAAGTGGTGCTCTTCAGGCACAATCTTCCTCAGCCTACTCAAGCTCAACTGATGAGGGGTGAATTCCCCGAAACACTGTGTATTGAGCAGGGAGTGGTGCTTTCTTGCAGGTTTGACGAGTCGAAGGTTCGATGGACTTCTCGTGTGCTCTGGATGGCAGTCGTGAGTCAGTCAAGTGTCAAGTAAAGTCGGCAGAATAGCCCGAGCTCCGGTGTGGGGAGCAAACCTTTCTTGCATTTGAAAGTGGTAGTTGTTTGAATTTTCTGGTGATGAAGAACGATGTTTGGTCGAGATACCCAAGTTTCACAACACAACTGCGGCCATACTCCAAGGACTTGAAGGGCCTCCTGAGGTGCCCCTGGTAGAGGCGCAGTGTGATGAGGACCAGGCGATTGGAGCAGGCAATTTCATTGGTCGACAAGGAAGAAAAGATTGGTGTTGAACAGTTCCTGCCAGAATCGTGGAGTGATAATGATGCAGAGGGCAGTTGATTGCCTTTGCTGTCGAGAGAGCATTGGGGCTGTTAGAATTGACAGCGCCTTGACATGCGTTTCACATCAGCCCGACTTCCTGTCAGCTTGCCTAAACACTTACCAGCTCCTCGTCTGATCCCTCCTCCTGCTCGTGTTTTCGCTTGAGGTAAAGTGATTCCTTTCGAGGTGTTGTTTTCATTGTGGAACTAGACTTTGCAGGCCTGAACTCGAAAATAACATTGGCACTGCACCCTCCAAGAGCTTACGAGGTCGCTTTTCTCCTGACTGTCTGCCCATCGCTTCGCTAGCCATACATTCGCTCATCAGATCATGCTGAAACTAGGTCTGTTCAAAGTGGGCTGAACACAAACGATCCCACTTTATTGGCTCAAAAGAGCGTGTGCGTTGTCCCACCGGCGACTTGAGCTGCTCTGCCCATGTTTTGGACCCACGAAAGACACAACTCAGCGTCATGGGGAAACGTAAACCAAATCAAATTTGTGCATGCCCCATCCTTCGAATCGTTTCAACAGATGGGAGCACATCATCTGGGCATGACAGACAGGAAATCTGAAGCTGGGACATCGACGGCATGTTGTTGTTTCTTTATTTTTGCATGAAAGAAACAAACTTGACAACTTGTACTAGTAAGGCCTGCAGGGCTTCACCTCGACAGTTTCAGCAGTGTTCCCATTCGAGCTCCAGGAGCACGATTGAGCACCGAATCACATGTGACGTCATCAGGTCCCTCCGCGGAGGAGATAAATTTGGCCCTGCCTGGCTTTATATATCGACATTTTGCGTCTAGTTTTCGCGATTTCCCATTCCCTGGGGCCATATGAAGCCCCCATGAAGAGCACACGTTCGACTCAGTACCCCCGAAGACTACAACTGGTGAAAATTTGACTTTAGGCTTAACTTCCCCTTTAACCCTTTGCCGGTCTAACTCAATGTATGTGAGGGGTGGTCACGCAAATACATGTACACACAACCTGCAATAACTCAAGAACCATGTGATGTAGGTATGGGTAAACCATATATTTTCTAAATCTGTGTGCCTGAACGCGTCCAGAAAATTCAAATATGACTAGGTCCAGGCAAGGATAGGGCCCATGGTAGCCCTTCAAGTTGAGAGAAAATACAATTGCGAATGAAATACACGAATATCACAGCACGAAGGGCATACCAAGTTCGTGATGGAGCTGAAGTCGTACGATAAACAATCAGGTAAGGGCTACGTCTTTACAAGAAATGTAGGCTCTCTACAATACCGCCATTGAACACCAACACCTCGCCATCGGCGATACGCCAGCAGCAGCAATTCCCTTTGCACGATATCGCAGTTTCGGTTTGTTCATCTCAGCGCTGCTCGCGTCAGATTCACTCTCGCTCAGATGAGTACTCAGGCGCGAGCTTACGCATGCCGTGATTCTCACGGCCAGGCGAATCAGCTGATCGCACCTGACGAGTCCTTGTGACAGTCGCTGTCGCCGTGTCGGCAGCAAGAAGACTTCCTCTCTGTTTGGAGAATTTTGTTTCTTCATTCGTCGACGATATATTTTTGAACTAGCAGGACTCAACGGAGCTCTTTTTCTCAACACACTACACTGCAAAACCTCCCGGGACATCCAGCCTGGACTGGTGATGTTACTGCTCTCAGAGCGCTTGTCAAACACGGCCCAAAGAGATGCACTCGCATTCTTGAAATGCGCGCATGGCGGATGGTCGTCTTTTCCAATTTCAACAAACTTCAGTCGATCGATACGGCAACAATTTGTATGGTAAGCATGGTTGTTTTGCACATCGTCAGAAAGCCTTGGACCTCAGCTACGCGTAGAGCGCCATTTTAGCTGTCTCCTAGCAACAAGACCCCAAAAACATGAGGGCCAAACGTACCGATACTATAGTATCGGTACGCTTATGGTAGACCGGTAAAGGGTTAAGGCAGCACTCCAAGAACTTGGGGCCTCACACAATCGGCTCTCCAGCAGTCGGACGTCTGGCAATAAAGTCAGTTGCGGTCTCTCTATGGCCACAGTGCATCTCATACCATGTACATGTACTTTACCGGATGTGCAAAATGGAGGAGATCAACATCCTCGCAACCCGTGCCAGGTGGCGTCTATTTGGTCATGTCTTACGGCTGCCACCATCAACCCCAGTAGCCTGGACAACTCTAACCAAAGAAGGGTAGGGAGAGTAGCACCCTCGTACTCTCACTGAGCCCCGCCCCCCTACTCTAGTGCCGATTTTGTGGTTTTCACGTCATTCAATAGTCAGAAGTCAATACTTCACATAGGTTCATTTGTTTGGGGTTAAGTCGAGGAATCCCCACGTCCGCTGCATTTTGCCTGGCAGGACAATTTATGGAATTGGACATATGGGTATCGGGTAACTTTTTTCCATGCCCCCTCCCCCCCCCCCCCTTTCCCCTCTCCTTCCACTAATACTTTGACTAAAACCCTGGTGTAGTGGTGTTGTTATAAACAGTAATTTACCATTCTCACACACACAGTGGTATAGTGAGGGAAAGTGAACATCTTACTTTTCATGTAAGATACCTACCTGTAGGAATATGCATTTGGAAGGTGTTTTAGATCTGAATACTCTCAGCTAATTGCCTGTCACCCAGCTCATGAAATTTGGTCTTGTCTTGTTGTTTTGTGTTTCATTAAGTGATATCCTGCGCTTTATCCAGCCCACCTTCCAATGGTTTAATTGTCAGCAGTTCTACTTCTCCTAATGGTATGACCGTCTTTGCCTGCAACAAAGGTTATAAACTGATGGGCAGCAGTGTCACTGTATGTTTGACGAATGGAAATTTATCAAACCCTGCGCCAACATGTGCAAGTAAGGCTTCTTTGGAGTGATAATACTAAAGTAATTAAATTGTGTGAAGTGTACGTCACATAACGAAGTAGTGGTAGGCACTAACAACAGTCGATCTTATTCTTTTCCCGACGGCTTGACTAGCCACTTGACCCACTCATGACTGCATTCTAGCGCACACGAGAAGTCCATTCAACCCTCGACTTGTCAAGAGTTCAATAAATCACCACATGGAATACAAATTCAAGCAAATAAACATACTTGCAATAAAGAAATGCAACCAGATCAGTCCAGTCGACCGAGGAGAACAAGAACAGCAACTCGCGTCTCACTTCTTCGTACTTTTCTCGACTTTTTCAAAAAGAAGCTGTGGTCATGTTTTAGCGCGCTCTGACTCAAATTCTACCGGTTCATAGTTTACTGAAGCAAAGCTCTCTTCATGCTGCGGTGTGATATGCACTTTCGCACAGTTTCTGTAATAGTCCTTAAGTCAAGTGCATACAGGCCAGCAGATCTTGCAGAAAAGGGGGGGGGGACCCGGTGGGGGTTGGAGGGCGCTTGCAGCGGACTTTGCGGTACTGTGCAATCACAAGACAATCTTTCTTGATTGCTATTCTTTGACCCTGAACAATTTATTAAGAAAAGAAAACCTTTGACGTGTGCAGACTTATCCATCGAACATTTGACTTGTGCAGACTTATCCATCGAACCTTTGACTTGTGCAGACTTATCCATCGAACATTTGACTTGTGCAGACTTATCCATCAAACCTTTGACTTGTGCAGACTTATCCATCGAACCTTTAACTGGTGCAGACTTATCCATCGAACCTTTGACTTGTACAGACTTATCCATCGAACCTTTGACGTGTGCAGACTTATCCATCGAACCTTTGACTTGTGCAGACTTATCCATCGAACCTTTGACTTGTGCAGACTTATCTATCGAACCTTTGACTTGTGCAGACTTCAACAAGAGAGCTTGGAAGCTCAGGGCCCTACGCTATGCTTTTTTGCCTAGCTCCTCATGCATGTTATTAGAACTGATGGAAATGTTGAATCTTTTGATTGGCTATAGTGTTTTACGTTCAACCATAACGGCTGCAATGCCCAACCATACCACAACGAACTGATCGGCTACATCATTGTGTCGCAAAACGTTTCTATCAGTTCGAATAACATGCGAGATCAGCTACGCAAAAAAGCATAGCGTAGGGCCCCGAGCGAAACGAGAGAGCTTGGAAGCTCAGGGCCATACCCTATGCTTTTTTGCCTTGATAACCTAGACAAAAAAAGGATAGTGATGTTATATATTCGTATAAATTTCTTTTTTTTTGGACATAACCTGGGATTCGAACCCGCACTATCGCCCTGCATGCATCCCCGATACACTTCGCATGCATACTAATTCTTCCAAGTTGCTTCACGTTATGATCTTGTATTTGAAAGCCCTATTTGAATATACATTGTGGCCAGCCGTCTTTGATTGTACGGTACGATACGGTACAGGTACGGGACAGGTACGGGACATGTACGGGATAATACAGGTACGGTCAAGGGTAATACGACACCTTCTACCGCCTTGATGACGGCAAAAAAAGAATAGGGATGTTATAAATTTTTCAATTTTCCTATTTTTGTCAGGCATTACCTGGGATTCGAACCCGCACCCCCATACACTTCGCATTCATACTCATTCTTCCAAGTTGCTTCACGTTATGATCTTGCGTTTGAAAGCTAATTTGAATAGTGCGACCAGCTGTGTTTGATGGAACGGTACGGTACGGGACAGATACAGGATAGCGCCAGGCGTGACACAAACACACAAACAAACAAACACCAAATTAAAGCTGTGTCGACCCTGGCTAGCGCCAGACGTTACTGAAGTAACGCCTTCTGCACAGCTACTGGAATAAATAAACTTTCTCTTGTCATTCGAGGGTATTACGACACCGTCTGCCACCTTGATGACCTAGGCAATAAAAGGATAGGGATGTGGTAATTATTTTGCATTTTTCCTAATTTATTTTCTAGACATAATCTAGGATTCGAACCTGCATTATCGCCATGCATGCATTCCCCCGATACACTTCGCATACATACTCATTCTTCCAAGTTGCTTCACGTTCTGATCTTGCATTTGAAAGGCCTATGTGAATACTGTGGCCATAGCCAGCTGTCTTTGATGGTACGGTACGGGACAGGTACGGGATAGCGCCGACGGCACAAACAAACAGACACACACCTTGATGGTACGGTACGGGATAGCGCCAGGCATGCCGATGGCACAAAGAAACAACCACGAAATTAAAGCTGGGTGGACCCTGGCTAGCGCCAGACGTTACTGAAGTAACGTCTTTTGCATAGCTACGGGAATAAAGCATTTCAGTCTAATCTATACTCATCATTCGTGATATTCATCCTCATCAGGTGAGCTTGATTAGATTGGGGAATATGTCTGAAGAGTACCACTATTATAGTGGTCTCGAGACCAAAAAGGTCACCAGGGAATTAATGTACACCAACGCTCTGTTTCAACTGGGACACACACACGCTTCATTAACACTAGATAGTTGCGTGCATGTATGTTGTTTGTGGATATGCAGAACAACCATTGAAATCGGAGGAAAAAGTTTAATCCAATGTGCAATTATGTGCAATTATCCAAAAAAAAACTCTCTTTATTGCTGTACTTTAACCCTCAATTACTTTATTTTATTAATTGTTATCTTTTATTCCCATTCAGGAGTCTCTTGTTCACTTTTGACTCATCCAATGAATGGTTCAGTCTCGCCCGGAGATAACAGCTTTGAAACAATTCGAAACTATACGTGTAATGACGGGTTCAAGTTGATTGGTTTTGCTACAACTACATGTCGCTTTAATGGTGTTTGGTCTGCACCTCAGCCAACTTGCCAAAGTAAGTGTCTTGTTATGCAGAGGTCGCGAGTACAATTACCGATGAAAATGGTTGCTCGTGTCTTTCTTCTCTTTCTCATTCTCCGGGCTCTTCTTTCATTCTGCTGGGTGGTTTCCAATAGGCAGTGAATGCCGAAGTATTTGGTGTGGCGTGTGTGTGTCTAAAAAGAATGAAAAAAGGGAAAATGAAAATTGAAAAATAGGGATTCACTGGCCAGAAATAGCCAGTTCAATCAGCTGTGTGGTGGATACAAGGCTAAAATTAGTGGCGGTAAATTCATCAGCCTTGCAACTGTTGAATGGTGCAATCCCAGCATAAGTTGCCATGTCTAACATACAGTAGTTGTTCGCTCACATCGCTTCCGCGATGGGCATGTCTGATGTCTGAGATTAGTTCACATTGAAGCTGTCAAGTGTGTTATAGTTGGACATTTCAGTAATTCTCGCTTGAAGCAAATGCTAGTGTTTGCAAAGGTTTTCGCTCATGAATCATATTCCTGCCACGCAACCTTTCTCAAACTAAGTTTGATGAATGCACTTTGGGAGAGCCATGATTCCTTTTGTGTGGAGTAACGTTGAGTTCCAACTAATGGTAAGTCACATTCTTCTGTGAGAACCGGACCTAAGGGACGGTGAGAAGACAATCATGCTTGTGCAATAGGTGAATTAAAATGAAAGTGAACAACAACAACAACAACAACAACAACAACAACAACAACAACAACAACAACAACAACAACAACAACAACAACAACAACCTGCCCACCCAGCTTCGCGAAATCCCTTCTCGTACTCCCTTCAAATCCGAGATATCCCTGCTGTTGCACAACTCTGTATGCTCGTGTAGCGACCACCCCTGCCCGTACACTTAAGTACGCAACTCTGTATGCTCGTGTGGCGACCACCCCTGCCCGTACACTTAAGTAGTCATTAACCCCTAGGCCCTGCCCACCCAATTCTTCCTCACTCTTTCTCCTTTCTTACACTATTATCTCTTATTGGCCACTGGCTATCGTGAGAATAAAGATTTGAAACAACAACAACAACAACAACAACAACAACAACAACAACAACAACAACAAAAGTTGAGTAGGAGTAGGAAGCAGATTTTGGCGCTCCCAGTTTTTCCCTAGATTTCTGCGGATTGAGGCTTACCCGGGGTACCAGACCCCAACCATGGAGCGCAACATTAGTACTGCTGCCCGAAATGGCGAGCCACGATGGAAATCACTTACCCGTGAAGACATGAAGGCCAACACCGTAGTTTTCACCAGTCACGCCGGTATCAAGACAGTGGATGTAGCCGAGGCCCTTGTTACCCAAGGGTACACGGACGTCGCCTCCGTCCAGATCACCAATTCCAACCTCACAAAGGTAACGTTATTATCTGCTACGCAGACTGACGCACTGCTGGGGCACGGGTTTTTTATCGGCGACAGCCATTTCTCTGTACGCCCTGCATTCACCAAACAACTACAACTCCATATCTTTGATGTCCCGATCTGGATCGAGAATACCGTTATCTGCAGTGCTTTGGCTGCATTTGGCCAGATCCAGGGAGACATCCGCCATGGTCAAATTCAAACCCCGTCGGGGATTACTGTAGGGACAGGTATGCGATTCGCCACCATCGAGCTGAAGGAGGGATGTCGGCAAGTTCCGTCATTTGTCCGCACAGCCGACCAGCACCAGTTTCGTGTCCGTCACGAGGACCAGAGGGCCACCTGCAGGATCTGCATGGGGGAGCACTTTGCTCGATCGTGTCCGAGCAAGCGGCCCACGAACAAACCACCCACAAATACACAGAGCACCAATTCGGCTGCTCTCCCTGGATCACAACTGAGCTCGGGTACAAGTGCGCCCGATGCAGGAGGTAGTGAGGCTGTTGTGAGTGCTAGTTCAGGTAGTAGCTGTACAAACACGGACCCCAGCGCGGAGCCCGAGAGCTCAAATCAATCCACCAGCTCAGCACGCACGCGCACAGAGCCCAAGGGTTCACACTCGTACGCCAGCGCAGCTCAACAGGGAGCCCGCGCACAGTTCAACTGTACGCACGGGGCGGCCGAACAGGTGAGCACTGCACCCGACGGATCCCCTGCTAGTACTAGTACTAGTAGCAAGGATGCAACACAGAAAACCGCTGAAATGAACAGCGCCAGTGCGTCTGAGAACACAACCAGCGACGGGGAATCCAAGGAAATACAGAGCAATACTCCATCCTCTGTCGACCAAACTGAGGTAGCTGAGAGTTCCAGCTTGCAGGTAATCGCTCCCAGTACACCCCCAATGTCCGGCACCCCTCCGCCTACAGGCACTGGGGAAGGCCACGACGACGGGGCCACCACGGTTGCCTCTGACGATGCGGATTGGATACCCAGCGGTCCTCGTCGTCGCCGACACAGCCACGGCCATTCGACCATGGAGGAGAAAGCCAAGGCCGATGGGACATGGCCCTCCCCTCAGAGGAAACACCCGAAATACTGAGTCCAGATAAGTTTCAACAACTAGCCAAAAGACAAAAACATTAAAAAAATAAAATTCCCCCCAAAAAAAACAATACCAATGTCAGTGAATTTGAACTTTCTCAGCACCAATGTGCGTTGCATATTCAACAAAATGGACGAGTTACTTACCTTTACCCGTTCGTGCTCTGAATCTCAGAACGAACTATCAGTCATTGCAGTCCAGGAAACCTGGGCTGACACATCAGACCCTGACAGTCTCTATGCAATCCCAGGCTACAAGCTGATCAGAGCTGACAGACAGGACTATGGTGGTGGTGTTGCCTTGTACATAGCGGAACGTTTCAACACAAGGGTACTGACAATACCAATGACAGCAGCAGAATGCATATGGACGAGAATATCCACCGGTAACCTTTCCCTCGTTGTTGCAAACATTTACCGACCACCCCGTAGCGATGGCACCCTCTTCTGTGCGGAACTGGAAAGAAGCATCAAAACCGCTAGAGCCGAAGGTGACGACCTCCTACTACTTGGAGACTTCAATGCCAAGAACAGTGCGTGGCTCACCACAGACAGAACAGATCGCCTTGGGGACGACATACAAACTCTGCTACACACATACGGCCTCACACAACATGTCAGATTCCCTACTTACATCCACCGACAAACACCTCTCTCATGTCTAGACCTTGTTATCTCCTCACTCCACACCAATGATATTCATATCCAATCACTTCCACCGTTTGGCGCATCCGATCACACTACTATCAGTGGCCACATCAATAATCAACTGCCCCCCATAATTAACAACTCCCCTCCACGATCCAGAAGCACCACATTCTGGTCATGGACAGACAGCACTATCCACCTTCTTCGAGAAGCCCTTTCACGCACAAATCTCAACCACCATCCAAACCAACACGACCCATGCCCAGTTGACACCTTCTGGCGATCCTGGCGTGACAATGTCATGAGCATCGCCCAAGAACACTGCCAAGTTACTCGCACTCACCCCCCTTGGGACAGGAAGAACGTGCCAGCACGACCATGGATATCAAAGGGCCTCTTGAAAGAGATCAAGGATAAGCACAGAAAACACAGAATATACCTTCACTCACGCTCGCCTGACGACTGGAACACGTTCACTGCCCAAAGAAACCGTGTCACCACCCTCCTGCGTCGTGCTAAATCGGATTTCGTAAACAACTCAACAGCCTCTTCTACTTCCCTACACCGCCTCATGAAGCACCTAACTACAGCTACAAAACAACGCATACCCGAACTCGTCAGCCAAGCAACTCCTGCAACGACACCAGCACAAAAAGCCGCTGCCCTCAACGAATTCTTCATTTCACAGAGCAAGCTGTCCGTGGCCAATGCGGATGAGCAAACTCCAGCCATCAACACCACCCCTGACATCCTCAGTCCCCTTCAAGAAATCTCGACTTCCCAAGCTGAGGTCGAAAAACTCCTCCGAGGAGTTGATACCAACAAAAGCCCCGGGTTTGACTCTATTCCAAACCGCCTCCTCAAAGAAGCGGCTAAGGAACTTGCACCGTCGTTATCGTCCCTCTTTAATCTATCGTTCCAAACCGGAGAAATCCCACAGGAGTGGAAAGATGCCACCATTACTCCAGTACCCAAGCCGGGTGACCCAACCCAACCAACAAATTATAGACCCATCTCTCTCTTGAGCACTACATCAAAAATCCAAGAAAAAATTGCACATCAACTCCTCTACAAGCACATCACACCCCACCTGCCCAACCAGCAGTCCGGATTCCGCGAGAAAGACGGCACTGAGCAGCAGCTCGCCCGTCTCGTCCATACCCTCTCCACTGCGAGAGACGACGGGAAACACGTCAATGCCTGCTTTTTCGATCTAAGCAAGGCCTTCGATCGTGTGTGGCATGCAGGCCTTCTAGCAAAACTCTCCCACTATGGTGTCCAGGGCAACGCCCTGGAGTGGTTCCGACGGTACCTGTTGGGGCGTCGGCAAAGGGTCCAGGTGGATGGCGACCTATCGCCTTTCCTCGAGATCCCTGCCGGCGTCCCTCAGGGATCTGTTCTTGGGCCGCTTCTATTCCTCGTCTACACCATAGACCTTCCACATGCATGTGAGAATCCCGGCACCACCTGTAGCCAGTTTGCAGATGACACCGCTCTGATTTCCATAGCGAGAACTCTTCAAGACTGCACCCGAAACCTACAACAGAGTGTCACAGCAGCTGGAGACTGGCTTCAAAGATGGCACCTGCTGGTTAACACAAAGAAAACAGTCATCCTCCCGTTCTACCACAATAACCGCCCCCCTGAACAGCTACCCCAGATCACCCTCAGGAATAGTCCGCTTACCGTAGCACAAAAACACAAACACCTCGGAATAATCTTTCAGCATGACCTCCGTTGGACGGAGCATGTTGAATACATAGTCAAAAAATCACTCAAGTCTTTCAATATTCTTTTTAGACTAAGGTCTACACTCACCAGTGATTCTTTATCTCACATCTATCAGACATACATACTACCTATATTC